TAATTGAGGCAAACTTGAGAGCTTGAAAGTTTCATTATCCTGTTATATTTTATGATGCTTTGTGGATTTTTGTAGGTAATTGCTTATAACAATGATTGGATAATTTGTTTTTTAAAATTTTAGGATATTTTCATACTATATCTTTGTATTTTTATGTCATTCTCTCATTTAAGGCATCCAATTATTTCTCGAAACTACTCAAAACTCAAATTAGCTTCTTAAAATAATTAATTTTTTTCAAAATTTTGATTATTTTCAGAATTTTAAACAATAAGAGTATAAAAATATTACAAAATATTTAAAAAAGATTTTGTCATGAAAAAGCTTAAACAAATGAGGCAATGGATCTTCTTTAAAGAAGGCACTGAATGAAATCTTTTCTAATTTTTCTGTTAATTTCTCTCCAACTTTCCCCGTTTAACTCAAAAAATTTCTCTATAACTTTCAGTGCTAAAAACTGCTTAATTATTTCTTAATCTTTCATTAATATATTTTATCTGCTGTCTAATTGCATTGCAATCAATTTATCTTTGCAATAGATACACAAGGACTTACTCCAATCGAATGACATTTGCAACTGTCAAGGTATAATTATGTACTATTTTATTCTTAAATTCCAAACACCATTGACACTTTTTTTTAAAAGAAAAGGGATCGAAAAATATTAATTTGGATGGATTGTTGTTGTTGTTGTTCTATCTGCAGGGTGCAGGACATACAGCTCCAGAGTTCAAACCTGATGAATGTCTTGCCATGTTCAAGAGGTGGATATCTAATGAGAATCTCTAGTAATATCGTCATCGATCTTGTAATGCTCATGAATCAAATTGATTTGTAATAAAAATGAATCTTTATTTCACCTCAATTGGAGATAGTTGTCTAAAAATTGTTTTTCGCATTTACACAAACTCAGACCCAAGATCATGTGCTTAAATGGTCACAATTCCTTCAAGTAGGATCAATGGTTGCTAGTCGAGGTTTGTGGATTTGAACAAAGAGAGGGTATATGGGCTTGACCGACTAATTCCCAAATTAATTATACATTAATCATCGGCCAAAAAAATCTTCGTTTAAAACAAAACAAAGAAACAGAATAATAAGCCAAGAAAAAATCACTAATTAATTAATCCATTTTGAATCCAAAGCCCATACCAACTTTGTGCTACATTAAACCACATATTCACTCTATACAATATACATTCTGCAGTCTAATGCATTTTCTATGATACACTTGTAATGTACATCAAGTCTAAACGTTAAATTTATAAGTATAAATACGGCGTTTTGTAAAACTATATATAATATATATATGAACTGTTGGAGTATTCAAATAATCTTATGTCGTGTTTAGATCAAGAGATATTTGAATTTGGACCAGATCTATTATTAGGGTACATTAAAATTGATGGATTTGAATTGATCCAAACCAAAATAAATTTTATTATTTTAAAATTTCAAATACTTGCTGTAACATAATTATTTTAAATGTGAAGCCTAACCTCTCTTTTTCAGTAAAAAAGGAAATATTACTAGACAGCTCCATACAAGCATTTTAATTATACCCAAAAATCCCCACCAAATATACAAATAGTTGTAAGATCCTGGCGACTTGGTTGTAAATAATTTTTTTTTTTATGAATTGACCACTAAACCCCTCCTCTCTACCTTGTCCGGACGGTGGTCCCAAACCTACCAGGTGAACTTCCCTGTAACGGGGGAGTAAATAACAACGATGGTGTATCTGAAATTGGGAGCTGTGCTGAACATGGAAGCTGGAGTGAGGATATCCAGATGAGAACGAGGCAGAGGGACTATCCTTGAGATCTGTTGCAGTGGTAGACACGGTGGTGGCTAAGAACACGACGGAGGTTGGGATGGACCGAAGAATGTGAGAAAGAACAAAGTTCAATATTTTTTTTTTAAAAAAAAACCATAGGTGTTGTCTTCAACCTCACTGCCACTATATTGTTCGACTCCAAACACTTTGTCTTTGATAATATAACCATCGTGGATTCTCATAGTGGCTTGGGGTTTGATATGTGATGGAAGTAAGTTTGTCTAGGAGTTCCTGAGGAAGAAGAAGAAGGACGATGCGCACTGCGAAGAAAGAAAAGGGGGAAAGAGAAAAGGAAGGGAGAAGAGGCCTGGTGGGAGCATTTCTAAGTGCTTTAAATCAGGGGTATTTTAGGTCCACTCATAAAAAATCTTATTTACAGCCAAGTAATCTTCAGGGACCTCACCTCCTAAAACTATAAAGCATCATACTTCAAATTATCTCACACATTGCATCGACATTGTATTTTAAATTTAAAAATTTTTAAAACGTATCCTATATCTCTAGATTATGAGTAGATACTACACATGTTAATAAAGACTAAGCGTACACAATTAGATAGAAATAGAATAAAAATACAATTAATAATTATATTTTGCTTAGTATTACTATAAAGGACTACATTTTTATGCAGTTGAATATTTTTTGAATTGAAATTATATTTTTATAATTTTTCTTACAAACGTGTGTGTACACGTATCGAAAATGTAATCATATCCTTTATTTTTTAAAAATGAAACCTAAATGCTCTTTGCTTCTTTTTGTTCTTTAGATTCTCAATCTCTTTTATTACCATCATTCGTCTTCACAACACCGTCAGTCACCCGCAAAGCACCCCACATTCTCCCATTTTCATCCATTGTCCACGTATTGTTAATCATCCTCAATTCGTCGCCACCTTGCAATTCTTTATGTTCACCATTGCATCCTTAATCACAGCTTCAAACTTGGGTCGGTGTGATTCGTGGTTTAAGGTTTATAGTTTAAAATTTTCTATATTACATCTAAACAAATGATTTTAAATATACATTCAAAATTTAAATTTTTTTGATTAATACTATTTATTCAATTTGATTGATTGATACGAATTAATTTTCTGTTACTCTATAAGTTGATGAAACACGTGCCCGGTCCAACATTAGATCTTTAGCATGGGAAAATGCAGATTCTGAATAGAGCAGGTTACTGTAATTACAAGCCCTCTTTTCTTTTCCACTTTCTATGTGTTTCCTGACTAAATCTTGAAAAATAATATTTAGGTTTCAAAAGTTTAATTTAATAACGATTAAGTTTTAAAAAATTTTGCAGAGATGTTTATTGCAATATTGGTTTAATTTAACAGTATTAAGATTATGGAACTGAAAGCACGTTTTTATAAATAAAAATTAAGAAACTAAATTAAAATTTTATGTAAAATTAAAGGATTAAGCATATATACTGTCATGAAAAATAAGAATTAGAATTTAAACCACACTTCTACGACGAAAATGATAGGAGAACTCAAATGCCAATACCTTTAATCGGACAGTTCAGAATTATTATCAGCCTTCTTTTCTTTTTCCCCTGGGGGAGCTAAGGTATTGTTATGAGCGATTTAATTTTGGTCATTTAGTCATGGTATTAAAAAACCACTCAAGTTGGGTAGTTATACCGGTGAATCGATGAACCAGTCCTCTTGCTGATCTGATCTAGAATTTTGGGCAAGTCAAGAGATGGATTTATATATTTTTCTCTCATTATTGAGCACTGAAAGTTGAAATAACACTAGTGTTTTGAGTTAATCATGATTGGGTTGATTTGATTCAATCACATTTTAGGCTATTGACCCTTC